TTAATATTTAATTAATTTTCTGAATATTATTTAATCTTAATTTTTGTTTTAAGATTTATTCTGTATCTTTGACTTACAATCTACTTATAAGACTTGGTATGATATTTTCTCCTAGTATTAGAAACTCTAAAAAGTTAAAGAAAACAATAGAAACAATGTTTTGTAAATGGAGAGGGGAAGAAAGAGTGATGCAGATAATGGGAAAAAAGAATTAAGGTACATCATGTGCAGGTATACATTTCCTATCATGAATGTGTTTATTATGTTTGTCAAAAGTGTACCAGTAAAATTAATTAAGAAAGAAAAAAGAGTGAATCACTTACCAATTTACTCCAAGGGCTGCTCAGGCAGCACATTTGTTTATGTACCAGCTATCCAGAGCATTGCTAGGGCAGGTGTCACTTCAAACAGCTGACTCTTGTATTTGATAAATTTAATGAAGTTGTCTTGTTGACATTCATGTAATATTCTTTTTTAAAATTAATTTTTTTTTTGGCAGAACTGGGGATTGAACTCAGGCCCTTGCACTTGCCAGGGAAGTACTTATTTTACTGAGCCATCTTCCTGGCCCCTAGTGTAATATTCTTATAAAAATTAATAAAAATATGCAATTTCTGTCAAACTGTACTTAAATATTTGGACTGATCATTGTTTAAGAAGACAGCTGACTCTGTATACATCAAAGACAATGGATATGCAACATAACAATCATTGTTGAATTCCTATCATGTTCATTAGTGAAATTCTTTAACTTTTTTTATTTTTAAAGAGAATACATGGTCAGCCTGGTAGCTCAGTGTTCTAAAGCACCTGCTTAGGCAGAGCGTAGTGGATGAGGTTCAGTCCCTGATGAGCCATGCCGGGGGGTGTGCTGAGATGGCAATGGAGACTGGGCATGGTGGCGCATGCCTGTAATCCCAGCGCTTGGGAAGCTTGAAACAGGAGGATAACTAGTAATCTGATTTACATATTGAGACCCTGCAGACCCTGTCCTAAACACAGAAACAAAAGAGAGAATACAAAAAATAGTTTTTTAAAAAAGCCATTAGAGACAATACAGAATTTCACAAAACAAAAAAATAGGAATTTAACAATGGTTGTCATATTGCATAATAATGTCTTTAAATTAGTTGTTCAGATTACAAGTTATAAGCTTATATGATTCAAAAATTATAAAAATTTGAAAAGGAGAGAAAAAATGTAAGCATTAACTGCTCCTTTCAATAGACCAGCAGAAGTCAGCAGCACAGCTATCCAAGCTGTCCTATGTGTATACATACATATTTCTTTTTCCCTTTCTTTCTTTTTTCTTTTCCCTCATTCTAGTTGTTCCTTCCTTTTTAGTAGTTTCTTTTGCTTTCACAGTATCCATTGTACCTTTCAGATCTTATGAACTTTTTTAGGTTTTTGCTTGATGGAGACAATATCATGTTTACACTTCCAGGTCTGATTTATTTCACTTATGAGTGTGGTCCTTAGCTGCATCTATTTACCTATAAAAGTTGCAAGTTTATCCTTTTTAAAGCTGACTGATACTCCACTATGCAAAAATACCACATCTTTTCTTAATCTGTTCCTCAGTTGATGGGAATTTGGGTTCTTTCCAAGGTTTAGCTATGACAAATTATGCTGCTACAAACATGGTGCACATATACTGCTGTGCGATGTTTTCAGTTCTTCTGGAAAAATATCTAGGAGGGGAATAGCTGGCTTGAATAGGATCTCTAATCCTAGGTTTTTAAGGAACTCCACACTGATTTCCATGGTGGTTGTACTGGTTTGCCCTTCTACAAATAGTGGAGAAGGGTTTCTTTTTCCCCACAACCTCTCCAGCATTTGTTATTGTTTGACTTCTTGATGATAGCCATTTTTTCTGGGGTGACATGGAATCTCAGTGTTGTTTTAATTTGCATTTCTATAATGATCATTGATGTTGAACATTTTTTCATATATTCATTTGCCATTTATCTTTTTTCATCTGAGAAGTGTACATACATCTCAAATGCCCATTTTTAATTGGGTCTTTGAATTTTTTTTTTGTAGAACCGAGCATTAACTCAGGCTCTTGCGCTTGCCAGGAAGGCACTAATTCTAGTGAGCCATCTCCCTGGCCCCAGGTCTTTGAATTTTGAGGGCCTTATTTTTAAAAAATTCTTTATATTATCTAGAGAGAAATCCTTTTTCTGAGGGAGAGTTGCCTAAAATATTTTCCTAATTCATGTTTTTTCCTTTTTAACTTGGTAAGTGATTTCTTTTGATGTGCAGAAACTTTTCAAAAAGATGAGATCTCAGCTGTTGATACTTTGAAGTATTTCCCATGCAGTATGGTTTTTGTTCATGAACTCTCTGCCTACCCGTATGTCTTCAAGAGTTCTGCTTTTTCTTCCAGTAAATTTCATGTTTCTGTTTAATATTTAAACCTTTGGTCCACTTTGGCTGTAGTTTAGTACATGGTAATAGACATGGGTTTAATTTTAGCCTTCAGCATGTGGAAATATAGTTTTTCAAATACCATTTATTAAAGAGGCTATCATTCTTCTAGTGAAAATTTGATTCTCTGTCAAAGATAAGGTGGCTGGATGTATCTGTAGTTGTGTCTGCATCTTCTAATCTGTTCCATTGATCTACAGGTTTTCCTTTTTCTTGCCAGTATCATCCTGATTTTAGCACAATAGCTTTGTAATATAATTTCAAGTCAGGGATTGCTTTCCTTCCTGCCTTTCCTTTGTTTCTCAGGATGTTTAGTGAAATTCTGTATCATTTTTAATGTCTTAAAACTATTTTTATTCTCTTTAAAAAAGAGAAATATAAGAAGAAACAAAAATAGAAAAATATTTCACTATGTAAGTGTATGTACTAACATGTAAAATTCGCTACTGAAAAAAATGACAACAGTTCAGAGAAGCAGAAATGCGTGCTTAGGGAGATGCCCAAATGGTCTGGAGTTTTCAAGTGGTGAAGTTTGAGCAAAAGACCTTTAAAAGGAAGTTGGGGTGCAAAGAAAAAGAGAGAAACATCTGATTGTGAACTGAACACTCTCTTCTAAACCCTGTGCTGGTAGTTTTGTAGACAGACTCAGATCTATGATCCTGATTTTACTTCTTGACATTACACAGATACGATATACATATAAGGCCTACATCATATACTCAAGTAAAAATTAAATTTAAATTGCTATTAATTGCCTTCCTGTGCAGATATATTTATATGCCTTATATCATACAAAGTGATGGGAGTTGGGGTAGGGAGATAGATATTGTTGCCTTTGTTTTACAAATGAGAAAACTGAAGCAAAAGATGGAGTTTTCGTCCCTGGTGAATGCTGGCAGTACTGAAAGTGGAATCAAGACTTCTTGAGCTCATGCGTTTCCTCCGTCCTGGCCAAATAACAGAATGGTGCATCAGTGTGAATGAGGGTGGCCACAGGTGCTGGGAGTACTAGTATTGGAGTCGTAATGACTTGGGTGGAATTCCAGCTCTCTCCTTTTCTCTTTGCAGACCTTGATTTCCTCATCTTTAGAATGCAGAGTTTGAATTATAGCTTTGAACATCCTCGTGGCTTTAAATTCTGTGACCAGGATATTTGTTCTTCATTCCGTGCCCATTCTTCTATCCTTTTACCTCCATTTACTATGATGCCACATGAACCTGAAAACTGCAGTGACTGTGACTTTTCTTTTGTTCAAAGATGATTCTTAGGACTTCTGTCTTACATTCTTACTCTAAGCTGGTGACTCACACTATTCCATTAAAGATCTTTTGTCTACAGTAGTTTGTTCTCTCCTCCAGGACTACTCTGGAGCAGCTTTTTGAAAAATCCTGCATTATGATGAGAATATGATGAGAATATGAGACAGGGCTTGCTGAAAAGTAAAGTGAAAATTATATTTTCACGCCACATCTCTTTCATGCTGAGGACAAAAACTACAAATAAACACGTGACCAATAAAAGAGAAATTTTCCTTATGAGAATGCTTTCAGAACTTTTGCAAAAGATGTCACCAGCTTTCAGGAGCAGCCTCATGTTTTGACAGATATTCTTACTTTGGCTTGGATTCTGAGTCCTTAGAAAAGAGAGAACTTTTCTTTTCTCATCCTTTTTTTTTTTCTTGACCAAAGTTTTGAATTCTCAAAAGCATTTTCCTTTTCTCTTTTCTCATTGAGAATTGGTAAATAATCCCACCCACCTCGTTTTTTTTTAAATAATTGACACTATACTTATTGTTTATAGAACTAATAGAGCTCTTTTAATCAGTTTTCAGGTAGAAGTAGATTTTAAACTTACCTCCAATAGCTTAAGATACTTTTCCTACATGGCTAGAGGGAATCCTAGCATAAGAAATTTTGAGCCTATGAGGGGGTCGCTTGTTGCTTTCAAATTTTGTTTTCTTTGACTTTTTTCTTAACCATTTCTACAAATTTGATTGTTCATGCAGGGATGATTTCCCCCTTTTTCTTTTTCTAAAAATATTTTATTTATTTGGTACAGGCTCTTGCTATGAAACTTAGACTCATAGTGATCCTCCTGTCTCAGCCCCTCCAGTGCTGGGATTATAAGCATGTGCCACCACACCCAGTTTCAGACAGGCTCAGTACACCTAGGGTTCTGGGGCCAACATAGCATACCATGCCTGAGATCAAACTCCAGTCCTTGCACTTTCCAGGCAGGTGCTTAAACCACCGAGCTATCTCTCCAGCCCCCTCCCCTTCTTTTAGTTCTTCACCCCTCTAGACCATGCACTCTGCCCCAGGCTCCCTGCCCCTTTAGACCTGGTGCACAGCTGCATGTCCTAATTGTTTGCACAGGGGAATCTCGACAGTGACTTCCTCCCCAAGGGCCATGGAAAACATCTGGGCACATTGTCTGCAATAAAATAAAATAAAATAAAATAAAATAAAATAAAATAAAATAAAGGAAACTTTTTTTTTCCATAAAATATGAACACAGGACCGCCAACCTGGGGAATCATGTGCTAGTATTCGAGGCAAGAAGGCTTCCAATTTTGATAATGAGATTCTGTTTCTTCACTCTTCCCTTACTTAGGGTAAAAATCTAATGTTTCACTTTGAAGAGGTATTTTTTTCCTCAAAACCACATATGTGGACACTCAATAAAGAAAACTGATTTAAATGTCAGCCTAAAAACAACTTTCTCAAAGGTTTATTGGATGAAGGCCTTTTAAAAATGAAGATAAAGCACTTGCCTGGCAGGTGCTGTGTCCTTGTTTCAATCCCCAGTAACACACACACACACACACACACGAATAAAGATAATTAGGCATCTGGTTCTAAGGTTGAAAAGATTGACATATGTGGGTTCTTATGGTGAGAACAATGATGACTTCATGGAAATCTTATAAATCCAACATTCTCAGAGTCTTGGGCTTACTTGATTATACTTAGAAACAAACAAGTTTTAAAACTCTATCATTAATTATTACTCAGACTCCGAAGGCCATAAACAGCTCCCTAAATGTTCTCCAAGGCAATTGGCTTCAGTTGATTTGCTGATTAATGACAATCTTTATATTAGTTTCTACTTATAATATCTGGACGATCTGATAAATTATTCCATGTACCCAGCCATCTTCTGAGAAACAAGATAACAAACAAAACTGTAAAACTCACCGATTGGCAACCCATTCCACTGAGGAGTTTCATCTTGAAGGTCCTTATATTTGTCAAGCCAAGTGTATGTGGACTGCATCCATGGTAGGCTCCTCTGCAGAGAACAGAAGTGGGAGGATGTGGTCATGTTAATTTCTCTTGGGTCACTGGCCTGAGTAGAATATGCACAAAAGAATCTATGAGACTATGAATAAGGACTAGAACAACATACATGTTGAATTCTGATAATTTCTAAGAACTCTTCCAAACCTACATGACATGAATATACTTACTTGCCTTTTCAAATAGTATAATAGATTTTAAATTGTGACAAGACGTTGGGAAATCATCTGGCTAAGAACTTTGGCTGACTTTTAAACTTGCTCCATATTATTACTTTAAAGTGGCTAGCATCATCTACAAGCAATGTACCAGAAAGGATATGTTCAGTGATTGCTAGTTTTCAAATTAGACAAGTATTTGTTCTTGTGGTGAAGCTGTGGGTCAGTCTCTCTGGAAAAATGTCTTTAAATGACTTATAGCCACCTACTTTGGCCTATAAGAAATACAGGTTTTATTTCTTTAGAACATGAAACAGACTTAGTATAAATAAGATGAATTAATTTTGACCATTTCTCCATTCCGGATCACAGTTAAATGAAGATATCTGAGAAGATGGCCATATATTCTGAAAAAAGCAGACAGTGACATGTATCTAACCTTGGTAGTTCATTATTCCTTCAAATAGAACAATACTGGGACATACATACTCTGGAATGCTATTTTGGTAAATGATTAATCATAATCCTTTATTTCGTATTTCTTTGATAACGAAAGTCTATTATGCTTGCAATCACTGCGTGCGCATTTTATATGGAATGTGTAAGATCTTATGTGCTATGATAAGGCTGATGGATTTAGACTGAAATTGTAGCTTATTAGGTTAAAAAGATGGAACTGTTCATTCACCTAATTTACTGCTTTTATAAAAGTCTTACAAATTTGGTTATATAACCTTGTAAAAGTCTGCTAAAAAAGGTAACAGTGCACAAATTCTTAGTTTTCTATTATTTTTAGTACTAAAATAATGATAAAGCCAATTTGGGTGGGTTTACCTAGTTACTAAATTCACTGATCTTGCCTTAAAACTTAAAATTGGAAATGTACCTCTCGAAAAGCTTATTTTCTTTTCCAGCCTAAGATTTAAAGATACACACCTTGTATTGGGATAAGTCAATGTCATTAAAGTTAGTTATTCTAAGGAGGTTACCTGAAAGAAATGATGTCTGAGTTCTTTGAGTGTGCTCTGGCCATCAGCATGGCCAGATCATTGGCCTCTGAGCCACTGTTCACCAAGAAAATGACCTGGAAGAAAAAAAGATACATAACCTCTTACTTCAATTTCTGATTATTCAATCATGCAAAAGTGCTGAAGACTGTATCCTATGCTAGAGCACCTGAATCCCTTCAGACCAGTTTACCTGGCAGTCCTATTATTAAATTGCTATATTAATTCTTCAGCTCTTCATTCAATGGTTGATATGTGATAGAAATGCAAAAATAACTATGAGTTTTAGCTGTGAAGCATGAAGCATTTTGGGTTGTATTGAAGTGCTCAGACGGGGGGCCTTGGTGCAGGACACAGGTTAGTGGTTGAGTATATCTGAGGTCTTTCAGTTCCCCAGTCTAACACACCCCCACCTGATTCTGAAGACTTGGAGTGGAGCAAGATCCCTGGCTCTGCAAGCACAGGGGCCACTCTAGTCTGACTGTGCTGTGTGGGGAGAACTGAAGGGAACTAAGCCACCAGCCAGTGACTGGGGAGCATTTGTTCATGACCATTGACTGCCATGCTTCTATTGTTTCTTGAACATCTGGGTCTCAACTTAGGTTACAGCTATTTCATACTTCTCTTTGTGTTCTCCATAATACAGTAAATAGAGTACTAGGTAATATAGATGCTAGGGTACAATAAAAGCTAATGCCAGGTACTGGGCACTGTTATAGATTCTTCATAAGTATTAACTTATTCAATGTTTAAATGCCAATCTTGGACAACAATTTTACAACTCAGTTCAGTTTAAAAATTCAACCATTTTTGATGCAGAAAAAGATATTTCATTAAAATACCGAAGTGCATTTTTGATTATTATTTATCAAAAAATGACTCTGCTCTTTGTAAAAGAAGAAATGCAAATAACTGCAGAGAAGCTGAGGAACAAAGGCATGAAGATTCCTTAGGACATAGATGTGGAGACCAGGAGAAGTGGGGCTCCTGAACAGTGACTTTGGCAATGTGTATTGAAGGAGGCACCAAGGCCAGAAGAGCAGAGAGGATCCAAGTGAATACTGCCTCATCTCCTCAGCAATTCACAAACCCTTTTGCTTTTGCTTGCTTGCTTCCATTTGCAGCTGGCGGCTCACCAGGACAGGTGCTCAGTGAATCCACCTAATTCCCTGCCCATACTCCTGCCTCTGTGAGTGCATCCCTTGGAACCCTGAGACTACTTTTTTCAGTTGAGAACACCATACCTTTAGGGGCTCAGGAAGCAGGGCCGCAAGCTCCTCTGCGTATTTGTGTATTGGAGGGTGGAAGAAGACAGAACTTGTGTGCCACAGGCGTCCAAGCTGCTTCTGTGCCACAGCGTTTAACTTCCTGGATAAATAGGAGAGCAGAGTCACCCCCACACTCCCACCAAGCATAGTCTTCCAACACACAAACTAGCCACTAGACTCAGAAATATAGTGATTTCTCAGACTTTCCAGAGGCAGGTTTCTTTGGCACCTAAGAGAAAAACTCCTCTAACAACTAGAGGTGTCCAGCAAAAAGTAATGATTTCCCCCCCAAGATACATCTTCAAAGGACAGTCTGGAATTTTAGATTAAAAAATTTCTTGGGGGCCCTGCCCCTTAGTTCAGTTCTTTAAGTGGCTGCTTCCACAAAGCTGTCAGCTTCAGGTTGCTGTAGTTCAATCCCCACAACACTCCAGCCAGCCAAACCTTCCCTGAAGGCATTCAGAGAAAAAAAAAAAAAATTCTTGTTTAGGAGGAAGTTTTGGGCTTAGAATTTCTTCTACCTATGTTTTAAATAATCACTGGGACATTTTAGAAATAAGTATGACCTAGTGGTGAGCCTGAGTATTCTCCCTTTTTTTTTTTTTTTTGAGTTCTACTTTTTATTCAAAGTTAGTTTAAATTTGAGTGCAATGGCTTTGATGCAAAGGAGTTTTCAACACATTCATTTGTAACGATAAGCGAAACAGGGGAAATGAAACTAGGTCCATAAGAAACATTATCTAGGAATGATCAATATATTCAACACATGTTTTTTTTTAGTATTCTCCCATTTTATTTCTCTAAGATTGTCAAACACATATTCAAGTGACTCGTGGCTTTTCCTCCAAAGGAGGGCCCATCCTGGGTCTGAGCAGTGGTCAGAGTTGAAGAATGTTTGTAATGATGAAGCCATGCTGCAGGAATGAGCCAACTCTCTAGAATGTTCATACTGAGGCAAAGTGGGAACTCAATGTAGGTTGGCATTTGGGTCCCACTAGGAAGACTAAGAAAGGCAGGGGAAGGGAATTTCACCTTCATCTGAAGGACAGCAATTGCCAAAGTTTGTTTTACCCTAGTTCTATTTGTTATTAACATCTGTCACTCCAAATAAATCAGTTCACTTTGGTTGAATAATTTTGAGAACTACCAGTTTCAACACACAGATTATTTTACTTGGGACTTGTTAGTACTTTTAATAGGTTAATGCATGCTGTTTCTCTCCAGAAAGAAGGTAGAGTTTAAATTACTTCCCAACATTTTCTCATGGGATTCTTTTCCATGGAACTATCGTGGTCAGTACTCCAGGAATCTCACTATAGAAATTGTGGAGTGTCAGTAAGCTCTTAAAAAGAAGAGATACTTGACAAAAGCACTGTTTAGAAAAAAAATCTGTGCCAGTGAAGATAAAATGGAGGAGAGGATTACTGGTAATAAGAGGACCAACTAGATTTGTGTCCTGGTTACTCCCCTTCTTTCCAGGATGCAATACCCAACACCCACAAATTGAAGGAAGAGGGGTTTATTTTGGTTCATAGTTTAGTGCCTGATTGGCTGGCTCCAAGAGAGAAACCGCACAGTGGGACAGCCCAGCAGAGGTAACCTGCTCAGCACATGTCAGGCAGGAAGCAGACAGGAGGCCATAGCTGGAGAGAGGTGTGCCTTTCAGGTCACACGCTCAGTAACCTACTTCCAACCAGGCCCCAGCTCCTAACCGTACATTTACCTCTGAACTCATTTGTGAATAAATGCACTGATGAATACAATGCCCCCAAATACAATCACACCCCAAAGGAGTTCCAAGGCTTTGAGGAGACATTCCAGATATAGACTACTGCAGTGGGCACAGTGGCCTCACACTAGGAAGAGGAAGATCTTCTAGCACACCGGATTGATGGGAACCAGGGGAGAGGGACCGGCAGGAGAGGAAAAACTGTGGAGGGAAAACTGTCCATGGTATGGGGCTGGCTATGGGCAGTGAAATTCAGGAAAGCATTAAAGACAAATTGGGAAAACTCCAAGAATGATTGAGAAATCCTGCTGTTGTCTAGCTCTGAGTTCCCCCATAGCAGGTAATTCACATGTGTCCTTTGAATAAATAAATATGGCAGTAGAAAGTGCTTTGTGGAGATGATTTCCTTTAACCCTGGAAATGTTAAATTTGAGCTGATGGTGGAATAGGAGAGGGTAGAGAAGGCCTATATGATAATGGAGAACCTGGAGTGTCCTGAGGCCTGCTCTGGGCTCATTAGATTCATTATTAGAGTTTGGTCAGGGACCAAGGCCAAGGAGTTGGGTGAGGAAGTTCAAAGTACAGTACTAAATTGTATATGGAACTTACTTTGAGCACCTCTTAAGACCTTGTATGGGAGTGATGCTTCCTGAAGATAGGAAAAAGAAAGGAAGTGGAGAAGGTGAGGCTGAGTCTGGAGGGAGACAACCTGTTTTTCAACTACTGACACCTGCTAACAGAGAAAACCTTTTGCCTCCTTTGATTTGAGAGCTTAATCCTATACAACTTATTTTATACTCACTGCTTTTTCTTTTGTCTTAATGTGCCTCTTATTGGCCAGATTATTAAGGGCAAGATAGATCAGATATTAAAATGAGAGTGCCACATGGAAGCCAAAAGGGTCATAGAAGAACCTGCTGAAAATGTGTGTGGATGAATTGATGACTGTGGGTTCTGACAGTCTCAGGCTCAGTCACTCCATATTCCAGGTAAATTTCCCACTAAGCTTGCAGCTGCCTTTTATCAGCCTTTCTTTTTCTAACCCATCTCTCAGAGTCCATAAAGAAGATCCTTACACGGGTGCCCACTTCTTATCTTTCCTCATCGCTCATCCTACAACCTTTTCTCCATGTTTCTCTGAAAGCCTCTGCCTCATCCTTCGCCCACTTTGTCTCTTTCCTTGAAAGGAGTTACTGGTGGAAAACACTTTAGGCACACAGTACATGCCATTGTATGTGCACAGTGAGCATAGGTAGAGCTTGTAATGCCAGAAAACAATGCGCGGTGTCAAGACTTGGTACCCAAGAGTGTAGATGGGAGTATGTCAGCCACAATCTGAAATAGGTGCTTCTTAACCAGGGTAAGCAAATCAAGGGGGCTGAATTAGTCACACGATTGTTGTCCATATTCTTCTGGAATGAAAATCCCTGGAGTATAAGGATACTCACGGATGGCAGTGGCCAACACTGACAGTGGCAATCCCGGAAAAGAAATCCAGGTATCTGTTTCCCTCAGAATCGAATAACCATTCCATGTGTCCCTGGTGGAGCAGCAGGGGCTTCTGGAAATATGCTGTCACCACAGGAGAAAGATGTTGCCTATGGGTCTCCAGCACGTGGTCATAGGCAAGGGACTGCAGGTAGACAAAATTAAAATCTCTTTTCATTATCACAATTCTTGCAGGATCATCAATTTAACAATGCTTGGGGAGCTGAGCCCAGGGCCCTGAAGGATCACAAATGGGTATATTTACTCAACATTCTTTTTAAAAAATATAAGTAATTAATTATATTATATTATTTTTTTGAGACAGGATCGCACTGTGTAGTTCAGACTGGCCTTGAACTACTATGTACCCTAGGTAGGCCTTGAACTTAGAGCGATCCTCCTGCCTCAGCTTCTCTAGTGCTGGGATGGCAGGCATGTGCCACCATACCCAGGCCAACGTCCTTCTTATAAGTTGCTGAATCCTTTTTTCTTAAGTAGATAAAATTGTTATTTGTGGTCTTTTTTCTTTTCTAGAAAAAATGTAAGAAAGGGTCGAAATTTCTATCTCTTAATCAAAAGGTTTGGTTTTGAATTGGTTTTAGCTTTAAAAATGAATAGGGTAGGCCTTAATCCTATTTTTAAGGATAAAAGCACACGAGGTGCCAGTGGTATTTATATGGTGTTTTTTCTTTATAAAGTATTTTGCTCATATCTCTCTTCTTTGTGGATCCTGCCTATTGATTCCATAATTTCAGACCCATGAGTATTGTGGCCAGTAGAAGGTAAAGATGGGTGTATGTGTGTATTTATGTGTAGAGAGGTAGGTGTAAGAGAAAGAGAAAGGGAAAGAAACACAATCATTAATAGCCTGACAGCAAAAAAAAGATAACTATAAATTATAGTGAAAGAATCTGAAAGATCAGACTATGTATTGTCATATCAGTTAGTTAAAAGAAGGAAATTTAAAAAAGGAAACGTGTGTCATCTCATGTGTGAGGTATCTGTACCCCTGAAGTAAATATAAATATAATCTTTGTGCTCCCACATTTACATGTCAGTTCACACACTGACAGTAAACTGTGTGGCGCAGACTCAGAAGCTCCCAAGGACTTCAAGGATGAATATCTGGGCCGGCACACCTCAGTGGCCAGCAGGAGTGTTTGTACCTCTTGCAGCAATATCTGACTGAGACCTCCTATGGGGAAATGTGTCTTTGGATCTTCCTGAAGATCTGAGTCTTACCTGGTATCTTTCAGGTGAGAAGTCACATGGAGGCATTCTAGGTTTTGTGTGAAGACCAAGCTTGGTTACAGATGGCCAGGAAACACCTACCGGAAGCAAAGTGAGTTAAGATGGCCCCTTAAACGTGCCATAGGTCCATTTGTGACAAGCACCTATCATTACCTAAAGAAAGTTCTTAGACATTTTTATTTGTTAGTTTTTTTTAACTAAGAAATTTAATTTAAAAATTACTTAAATCAAACTTCAGTTAGGATTTAAGAATTGAGATATCTCAATTAAGATTTCTTCGAGTTAAAAAATAAAAGGCCGTTCCTCTTGAATCTAGTTCAAAAGCCACAGAGAAGCTTGCTGGGGCAGGACATGGTTTCTGCCATGGCCCCTCACAAGGTTGGGGAGCTCTGTGCAACAGCCCAACATTGCCCCCATCCATGTTGACTGTGACTTTCCTCATTTGGCAAAAATACACCAATGCAATGTACTGTGGGAGTCTATCCAGTGTTAAGAAAGATGCTTGCTAGGCTTGGGGCTGTCTTGTGCCTGAGTCCTGGTCTGTGGACCTTTAATTGTGGAGTATGTGGCCTTTGACTCTTACCTGTGAACAGAAATGGAAGATCACTTCCTTCATCAAGCCCCCAACACAAGACCATGTCAGTGATAAGCTAAGCCAAAGAAGGCATTAAATGTTTGGAGCTGGGAGAGAATTTGGACTTTTCTGGAGGTTCCAAATCCTCATTTTATAAATAAGACTAAAACAACAAATTATTTTCTTTAAGCTTACCAAACTGGTTAGCTGAAGAACAGAAATGAAACTTCAGCTTTCTAGCTCCCAACCTAGTGCTCTTTTTTTTTTAAATCATCCTTGGCCACTTTTCCCTTTCCTGCCGGTACAGGCTGTGTCACCTCGGCAGCTGTGAGATGGGATAATGAATCTGAAATATCAGAGCTGGAAGAGTGCTGTCTAGAGCTCTCATGAGTGCTCCTGGAAAACAGCGCTGCTAATTGTAAAGATTTCAGGTCAACATCAAGATAATTTTACAAGTGGAAAGAGCTGAGGAAGTGATGCTTCTGATTCAGCACAAAAGGTGAATACAGGCATGAGATGTGGGCTGTTGTCCGCCTATGAGGCTGCAGTCCTAGCAAGCTCAGTGAACAACTACATTTTTAAATGAATCTGGAAAGTAATGGCTTTCAATACGTTTTCACTCACAGACATCCCATTCACTTTCCAGCTCTAAATAGTCACTAATATCATTAAAGTAATAATCTTACTTTAAAAGCAAGTGCTTTGGTGTACCCATGTATAGAAATGACAAAAAAAGGGTAGCTTAAGTTTTCTGAGAATTCCACCTTTAGAAAAGCTTTCCATTGTGCTTTTCTGCATTAGTTACTCTTCTGAGATGGGGAAAAAAATTTGAGTGTTTCTGAGAACTCAAAATCTCTTTGCTTCATCAGACTCATTTTGCTACCTATAAAATTGGAGTTGCTCACTGAGGAGGCTATAAGGTCTCTTGTCTTTAACGTTACAGGAATTATGAGAGTATCTTGAAGAAAACGAATTGACCAAGAAAACCTTAAATTTTAAATGCCAAGGCAGTTTCATTCATCTGTCCATCTGTCCGTCCACCCTTCCATCCATCCACCCACAGAAAGCATATGGTGGAGGAGGAAAGACCTTGAGTGCAATACATAAAATCATGTCTACAGGAAGAAAGAGAAAAAAAGAACAGAAGAAAGAACAGAGATAGCAAGCAAGCAGAAATACAAAATTTGTCAATAAGGGCAATAAATCAATATAATGCCTAATAAATCTTTTGTTGTCATAATGCCCCTCTCAGTAAACATTAAAAAAAATAGATTTAATGATACTAATTGGTATATAAAAAGAAATAAAAATACAGTGGCTTTCATGATTTATCAGAAAAATTAAAATCTAGATATCTAGATAATTGCATGTATTCTTTATTCCAAACAATCTATGCTTTGAGGATACATAAAAGGTGAGGGCCAATAAAAGCTTTCTTAGGGTTTTGGAAAAATATTTGTGCTCATATGTGTGTGTGCATGTGTGTTTGGGGGCTGGGGAAGGGAAGTAATAACTGATCTTTGATTTAATAAAGCTGAATTCCAGATGTATTTCTGAATATTTCTTTTTCTTGTTTTAACTGATCTGATAATTGCCCTTTTAGACTAAAAACAAATGACAATTATTGTTTTTCATCCAATCCACCAATTTCCACTTCAATTCACATGGAAAACTCAAGACATTAAAATGGAATTCAATTAAGAGAACAATACCACTGTTGTATAATAAATGCCAAGTTGGTAACTGGATTTAATTTCTAAGCTGCCTAATTCTTACACAGTTCTGCAGCAGACAAATCACTGTAGCTTTATTTTTCTTTCCCCAAAATCATAATATAAAAAAGGGAAAAACTGTTTGGCAAAATGAATGAGAGAAAGCAATTTTTTTTTTTTTTTTTTGGCTCCGAATGACTTTAGGGCAGGTTTGGCTGGCTTGAGTTGTGGG